ATTGAGAGATAAATTGATAGATTTATGACAGAAATGCATAAAAAAAAACATTCAGTGGAGTTTGGGTGGTGTTTTTTTTTTGGTATAAGGCCTAAACAAAATTGCATATGAACCTCAATTTTTTTATATATCAACTTCAAATTTGGAACACAACTTATGTAGACATATGGCTTTAATTCTATAGCAATTTTTTATTGCAACTGTTTTTTAAAATATTTATTTTATATAAAATAAAATAAAAATAGTAAATTTTCTTTACAGTAAATTTAAACTTCTATAACTTTTTAATACTTTCATTTTATTAAATGATTTCACTTCTGTAATAATCTGCTAAATTGTCTTCTTTAAAAAGAGACCAACCTTAAGTCTGTATTCACAACCATTCAATCATAGTCATTTCATAAATGAGGCCCATTGTCTCCGTTATTACTATTACTACAAATGTATAATAAAGGAATAGTTGCCTCCCCCCTCCCACCTCAGTACTCACCCTCAGATCTTCATCATAACAGATCTGGAGAAATTTAGCATCACATTACAATGCATCCTCAACAGTGAATGGGTGCCATCAGAATGAGAGTCCAAACAGCTGATAAAAACATCACAATAATCCACAAGTAATCCACACAACTCCAGCCAATCAATTAACATCTTGTCAAGTGAAAAGCTGCACGTTTGTAAGAAACAAATCCATCATTAAGAAATGTAATCATTGCTTTCTCAGTGAAAAAGTCATCTCGTCTGAATCGGGAGAGAAATATGCACAGATCAAGCACTGTTTACAATCGAAAACTTAATATAAAAAATTCCTTAACAAACGGATTACAAATACACAGCTTTTTAAAAGTGTTTAAATGCCATTTATTAATTATTGCTTTTAAATAAAGAATGCAAAATAATAAAGATTCATTTTACTGCTCTATAACAGTCTTGGAACAAATCTATTAATCCGCAGTAACAGAAGTCCGTTGTTCCCTCCTTAAAGAGTTTATTACTCTTATCTAGAGAAAGTACAAAGTGCAAATAATCCTCCCCTTTCTGATCATAATTTGCAAACGTTCATCTACACCAGCATTCACATGACTATGTGGCTCACTATGAGGGAACTTGGCATAATTTTGTTCATTTTTGCTCTAAACCACAACATTCAGGCCCAAACGACAAAATCAGGTAAGATTTAAAAAAAAAAAAAAAAACACCCCAACATATTCAATTATTTTATGAGCGATAAAGGGGTTTATGTCTGGTTTGGTCTTTGTTTTTACCTCATTACTTAATGTTGTTAAATGTTGAATTTAGAAAATACTATTCTCAAGGTCAAAGAAATGACCAAATCACACAAAACACAACCATATTTTATGCGATGAAATTAGTTAAATATAATAAATATATATATGCTTGTGTATGTGTATATAAGTATATATGTGCATTTATATGTGTGTGTGTGTGCGCACCTGATTTTGAGGAAGCAAACTGAATGTAGCATTGCAGTTTATATTTTAAGAAGGCAGAATTTAAATAAACTGAAGTTTAAAGAAGTTTACATCATCATCATCAATATTACATTTACATCATACTTAAGTGTAATTCTTAACAAGAAAACGAAGGTGCATTGAGACAAACCTTGAATTAAAGAGGTCATATGATGCCATTTCAAATTTTCTTATCTCTTTGGAGTGTTACAATCTGTTCGTGCATAGATAAGATCCCTAAAGTTGAAATACATCAACTTTGCGCTGTGATCACCGGATCGGTTTTCACCGTGGACGAAGTGGAGTCCAGCCCGGGGTCGTCACATGTGGGTGGCGCAAGCCCGCCGGCCGCTCCTTCGTCGAATACGCCGGCCGTTCCTCATTCAAGCCCGCCGGCCGCCGCTCACTCTAGCCCGCCTTGTGTTTCGTTGTGAAAGCTAAACTACTTTGTTTGGCCTTCCAAAAGAGGACACGACTAGAAATCAGTGGTTAAGTTGTATTTACAACACTGTTCCAGAACAGTTCAACCCAAATATTCAGATGTGTGCAGCACATTTTATGGAAGACTGTTTCCTGATCCTGGGAGAGTACACTAAAATGCCGACATGGTTTTATGCTTATGCGGCGCGATGCAACGCAGCGCGTAAAAAGACAGTTTAAGTCATTATAATCCATAATTATGTCCCCACTGGATGCAACAAATGCCTCGTTTGTAATGGGTTTTATTGGTTTTGTCTCGTTGCTCCGGGACATGGCATCACAGTATGGTGAGGGGCATAACATTTCCGTCTGACGTTTGAGGTATTCAGCCAATCACAACGCACTGGATAGCTGGCCAATCAGCACACCTCGCTTTTCAGAACGATGAGCTTTGTAAAAATCGACGTGTTTCAGAAAGGCGGGGCATAGAGGAGAAACAATAATGTACAGTATGTGGAAAATAATGTGCTTTTTGAATCTTAAACCGCATAAACACATTTCATTACACCAAATACACAAAATAATGTTATTTTTAGCAACATCATATGACCCCTTTAATACTTAAAAAAAAAACGAATAAAAAAAACAAAGCTAGAAGTATAGATCTGTTTAAAATGTTGCCTATAGAAAGATGTACTTGCTTGAACAATTTTATATTTAATAAATTAACTTATATTTTATGGACTGGGGTGTAATAATACTCCATTTGAATTAGTTTGAATTGTAATTCAGTAAATTCCACTTCCTGTCATTCCAAGTCAACTTCCTGTGGGCTGTGGCCAATTTAATTCAGATTCACACTCATGAATCAAGAAAGCCAATTATAAATTCAGAATTTTGCACAACCCTGTTGTATTTATACAACCCTTTTTATGACCCTATATAAAGTGTTGTATGAAAAAAAAACTAGTTTTGCAAAATTGTGATGACAAATAAGACTTTAAATGAAGCTGAATTTGCATAATATTTACAGGAAGTAAAACTTGTAACATTAAAAGTGGAGAAAGAAATAGTGGAGAAAGGTTAATGGAGCTACAACAGCATGTACAATTAACAGAACCAGAATACACTTGGATTGGGATGGAGTCTGGATAGATTTCACTCATAAAAACTAAAACATTACAACATTGGCCAGTGAGTTTACACCTTTCATGACACTGGGCATTGCAACTGATGTTATTACTGAGAATCAGGCAATTGATGTTTCTGTTTGTTTAGTACAATTGCAAATTTACTTGGATTTACCACTTCATAATGTATTCAAAGAGAACATTTTTAACTGTACAAACAGCTACAAATGAAACCGTTGTCTTGAGTTTTTATAGGACACAATTAGGAGGACACATTGGCTGTCCAGGTCTAATACCCTAGAAATCATTAACATACTGTAAAAAAAAAATTGCAATATTTACAATCATCATAAAAACTAGGTGTGGACTCTGCAAGATTAGTTACACATTACCATTCAAGATACAAAGATCACTCCCATTTCCATGGTTGTTTCAATCAATGTTGCATAATGTAGCAAATGTAATGATTTTTTTTTTTTAGTCTTTGTTTTTAATTGTGATTCTCTAAATCCTGGACACAGATCTAATGCAGTACAAATCACATTCTCTGTCTTTTATTCCCCAAAAATCTAGCGGCCTGCAGTCTAACGGCAGATGTAGGGACAGGATCTGAGTCCGAGGTTAGGGCTTATATGTACTACGATGCAGAAAAAGACAACTGTTATCCATTCCGATACTTTGGGAGTGGTGGAAATGCAAACCGTTTCATAACAGAGAGGCAGTGCATGAGAAACTGTTCAAACAGAGCTGATGAACTGTTTCCTAAGGACGGTAAAAACATAATTGCTTTTATATATGAAATGTACATTATTATGGACTGATTCATTCATTTGTTAATTCAATCCTGTCCAAACAACGCCCAAGAAACAATGCTTGACTTAAGATAATACTGCCACCCTGTGGTAGACACAATATTTGATATATATATATATATATATATATATATATATATATTCATTTAACTGTTTTTAACAGAAAGACAAGCTTGCTATCTTCCAAAAAAGCCAGGGGAATGTGTAGGTCACTATCTCCGTTATTACTACAGTCCTGAACATCACAAATGCAAGTCTTTCTACTGGACTGGCTGTGTGGGAAATGGAAACCGATTCCTCACACTGAGCTGGTGTAATGCCACATGTTACAATGCAGCAGGTATGTGGCTAATAATGATTTTACCCAGAGATATACAGTATATACTGTACATGCAAAAGTGCATGTTAATGTGTATTTGTTTGAATAGATGAAGGCCTTGAGGACTATTCTGGTGAATCAGATGTACCAGTCGGTAAGTGAAACGTAAATAGTAAACTTACATTTTCAACTCATTTGAATTTTTTATTCAATTATATTAATGTGTTATTATCCCATCAGGAATTATCTTGGGTGTTGTGTTTGGTCTTATTGGTGCCGTTATTCTCATTGTGGTGATTGTCTTTGCTGTCAAGAAAAAGTATGTCATTACAGTATATATATATATTTTTTGTGTTTGGCTTTAGTGTTTTTTACTGGCAATTTTTTTTGTAGTTACATGTTAACATGGAATTTTCTAGGCCTAGCTCAAAGAAACATGGGGAAAAGGATGGAAAGTCTGCAGAGCAGCCACTGAAAGAGCAGGCCATTGAGATGGGAGGTGGAGAAGCACAGCCAGACACTCTTGAAGTCTCTTCAATCCAATCCTAAATTTTTAGCCACAAATGTACATTGAAACTTTTGGCCAATCATTGTTTGCATTTTTTTTTTTAAAACATGTACAGGTAAAAATGTTTGACTGTAATAAAAAGGTACATGCATAATATTCCTTATTTACTTGTAGATTATACTTGTGTCTATATTTGGAAGTCCATTTCTAATTTGCATTGTTTTATATGTCAGCTAAACTGGTCATATCACAATAAACATATAAAGTAGAAATGTCTGTATGGTCTTAAATTCCTTGAAGTGTGGCACAGTTTACATGTTGGTGTTTGGAAAATGAATCATGGGCCAGGTAACTATGTACATATAATTTCATAGCGAGACAACATGTGTACATGATGATAAAGCAGGGGTTTTCAAATAAAACAATAGCATAAAATTGTGAAAATAATATACAGTGGGGCAAAAAAGTATTTAGTCAGCCACCAATTGTGCAAGTTCTCCCACTTAAAAAGATGAGAGAGGCCTGTAATTTTCATCATAGGTATACCTCAACTATGAGAGACAAAATGAGAAAAAAAAATCCAGAAAATCACATTGTAGGATTTTTAAAGAATTAATTGGTAAATTCCTCGGTAAAATAAGTATTTGGTCACCTACAAACAAGCAAGAGTTCTGGCTCTCACAGACCTGTATGGGGTGCTGTGTGTACATTAATGAGGAAAAAAAATTAACTTAAATGATTTTAGCAAATGGCTGCAATATAACAAAGAGTGAAAAATTTAAGTGGGTCTGAATACTTTCCGTACCCACTGTATGTGCTGATATCGCATTTGGTCTCGTTCTGTATCGCGTACGCGTATGTCTGCGCTTGCTTGGCCATTTGTTGTGGAGAAAATAAGGAAAGTGTGTTCTAGCGCCAGCAGAAAACAGTGTAAAGAAATACTCTTTGAGAGAAACCCTCACCTCAGCTCCAGTGTCTGTTTGACGGTGGATCCGACCCGGTTCCCCAACGGTTCCCCTTCCTCATGGTGCTGCTCCGGTGAGTTACAAGCGAATCATAATTCATTAATAACGAGTAATAATTCAGTCAGTTTCCTGTAAGAGCTAGCTCGAGCTAGCCCAGCCGGCTAAGTGCCTCATTGCTCTCAGCAGCTCGCGCTTGGAGACTTTTGTGTTTTTGTACTAATAAAACTGAAGAACATATAAACACATAATATGCCGTGGAATGATAATATTCAGTAATTGTGCTTTATTAAATATTAAACCCTCAAACCGAGTAGTTTAGCTTCACACAGCAGTCAAACTTGCTCATTTGAGTGTGAAAGGCGGACAGCTTATTGTTCTTTGAAGACGTTTCGCTTTCGCCAGTTTGTTTCACCCTTTCAGAAACTTGAGAGAGGTTTTCTTTTTCGTAGTGGCATTTAATCTTATATTGTTGTGATTGGCTCTAATTTGTCATTAGCTTTATATCGAACTGTTCATTTAAGGTACAAACCTGCCGATTTACAGTGAATGATTAATATTGATCTTCATATGCAGACAATATAAACTAAGCAATCTAGATGGGCAGACCACAAAATAAAGCAGAAATAATGTCTGCAAACGTTTTTACAACACAAGTGTAATGCTATTACATTCATGGCTTTACATGTGCATGAAAGCACTACAATACAAAGGATCTGAAAACGTTTTCTTTCCTTCTTTTTGGATTTGGGCATTTACTGTAGATAGGAAAGGGAGCTATTGTAGATGGTAATGATTGGCTTAGTGTGGGACTGCTTTTACAGGGGCCGGTTTGCTGGAAAAAATGTTCAGGAGAACATTCGAGGAAGCCATTAAAGGTTGGAGAGACCTTTAAAGTAACCCATTAGGTCTCATGGCTACAAACTTGTGGAAAGAAGTGCAGGATCTAGTGTTTGTTTGTATTATCATCAGAATCTCCTTGAAATGCATGGATTTCATCTATAAATAAAAATAATGTTATTAGAGATATTATTCAATGGGGTGCATGATATCAGATTTTATTTTTATATTATGGCCAGTGTTCTAAATAGTGGCAGACAAACCAGCACGCTAAAGTTTGAGGTCGACACAATTTTTTTAATGTTTTTGAAAATAGTTTCTTATGCTGTATTTTTTTTCTTTTTAAATAAACCTTTGTAACCTCGTCTTTACTGTCACATTTGATCAACTGTGCCCCCTCCTACCTGGATAAATGTATTTATTTGTTTGTTTATAAAATTACATTTATTTATTAATAATTTTTTTTATTATATCTTCCACACACACCACATTTTTGAATGGTAGTGTATTTGGCTAAAATTGGGCTATTTAGAATTTTTCGAAATTGATCAATTCTGGTAAATATCAAATATTTCCAGTTTTTATATATTTTATAGTGAATATAAACAACTAGTAAAATAAGTGTTTATTTAAATGTAACCATTTTGTGTAAATCTTATTTGATCTTATCAGGCATTCCACTCTGTAGATATTGGCATTGATGATTTAAAAAACTATTTCAGACGACAGGTTATATATATTTATTGCTAACTGACATACATCAAATGAATACAAAAAAAAAAAGCTAGCTATACTTTTATACCAGTAACATTACCAACATATCATGCATCCATGATTATTTCATATGTGTATTTTTGACCAGACCAGAGTGAAGATGAATTTACATGTTAGATTACACTGAAAACCCATGAACATTTAGGGTGTGACGCCCAGTGGCCCCTCAGCACACCCACGGGACATGAGAAATGCCCCATATCTCTTGTTTAACACATTTCACACTTATGAAACATGTCAATCATTAGTACTGCTAAAAAAAAATAATTACTTAAATGACTGAACTAGTAAAACAGAACTATGACCCACCTTTAATACCATATAAATTAATACGACTTAAATTTCACTGCACTTTATGGCAGATTCTTTGGGAAAATTGTACACGAGTCACGACATACCTGTTTAGGTGGCTTTGTTCCTAATAACAGCATGGTTTTGTTAGAACGTCGCTTCTTTTGTGTGAAGCGCATTATATAAAGCATGTTACAATAGCACAGCATTGGCGCTTTCTTAATCAGGACACAGGCGGTCAGCAGGTACGAGGAGACGGACGGGGTCTATTGATTTTTTTCCACATTTGTTGGGTCGTGGACAGACCAGCATTCACGAGAATCGACCGTTCCTTAGCAACAGCTAATTCAGATGCTTGTTGTGCGCTCAGAGGGAAGGTGATCAAGGCAATTAGAACAAAGCACTCTCTCCCAGCAGGCCACAGCCAGAGATTACATTTGCATGAGGTTAACATGCCACCTTATCTCTGCACATTACAGAGGTCTTTATTATACACTAGGTTTCATGTCTTGAGTATGTGGGTCTGGTTTCATACATCTGTAAAATACAATATTATGTTTGTAAAATTTAAAGAAAAAAATATTATTTAAAAATGATTTAAGACATGATATAAATGTTATAAAGAAAATATATGGTGTAAAATATTTATTTATTTGTTATTAATAAAAATATTTTTATAATTTTTTTTAAAATCCAAGATTACTTGTGTGGGTCTAGTATAGAGCTTGAAAAATATGCTTATACTTTTTTTTTATATTTTATTATATGTATATGTATGTTATATGATACTTATTTCAAGCATTTTAAGCCCAAGAGAAGCTGCCAATTTTACAGGTGTAGGCAAAATAATCAATAAAAAATGCACAAATATAATACTACATAATATATGTTGTAGCCTATTGTAACATTTTAAGCCCAGCCTGAATAATTTACTTATTTTATTATTTCAAATGTAGGCTTAGCATACAGTTTTAAAATGCTTTGAAATTAAAATAAATATATATTTATATATTGTCTTTTTTGTTTTATTATCCGTTATATTTTCCTTATGTATATTATAAATTACTTACATTTTATCCATCCATCCATCTATCCATTTTTAAACCCAAGAGAAGCTGACTAATTTACATGTGTAAAAAAATAATTAATTACAAAAAATGTATTAAAAGTTATATGATACTTATTTCAAGCATTTTAAGCCCAAGAGAAGCTGCCAATTTTACAGGTGTAGGCAAAATAATCAATAAAAAATGCACAAATATAATACTACATAATATATGTTGTAGCCTATTGTAACATTTTAAGCCCAGCCTGAATAATTTACTTATTTTATTATTTCAAATGTAGGCTTAGCATACAGTTTTAAAATGCTTTGAAATTAAAATAAATATATATTGATATATTGTCTTTTTTGTTTTATTATCCGTTATATTTTCCTTATGTATATTATAAATTACTTACATTTTATCCATCCATCCATCTATCCATTTTTAAACCCAAGAGAAGCTGACTAATTTACATGTGTAAAACATTTTAAAAAAAAAAATGTATTAAAATGATCTTGTTTTATACACTTGTAAAATGCCAAATCATATCATGGATGTCACTCATATGCTGTATATTTTGATATTTTGTAGTTTGCCGGTCAAACAAAAGCCCGTGGGTTTGCCTGACATGTTTGAATGTGCATTGTGGAAGGTGAGTGCTTAAATTGATATTTTTTTAGTCTATGTGGTTGTGTTTCTTTATATATGACTTACAGTAAATATTACATGTAAATTCATAGTTCCTTGATTGTTTAGAATTATGTTTAAGCTGTATTAAAATATTAAAATGTAGAAAATATAAAAATTGTTTTAGTAGATAAAAGTGAATTAAAGTTAATTACATTCTAATTATTAAAATATTAAATTTCACACATTAAAATGACCTTGCATCTGTTTCCTGTGGCAGGTATGTAAACGGCCATGCAAAAAAGCATTTCGAGGAGATTCAGGCACCAGGAGGCGGTCAAAGGAAGCCAGAGCGAGAAAAGTCGAGCGAGAAGAGTCAGCAGCACTCTGTGTGTATGGACTGTAACAGTTATAGCACGTTCTGGTTAGTTTCTTCCCTATTTTTCTTTCCAGAAATATTTTTAAATGGACAGTAGTAAGATGAGTGTCTTAAAGGGACAGTACATACAGTATTTTTCAGTGAACAGTGTTATGTGTTTTTTTTTTTTTACCTTCATGCAAATTTCTTTCCTGTAGTTACAGATGTGATGAATTTGTGGTGAACGACACAAAACTAGGGCATGTGCAGAGGGTCAGAGAACATCTGCAGAGTTTGGAAAAGTACGTCTGGTATTTGTCGGTGTATCTATCCATTTATCAATCATCATCACTTAAATGCATGGATTATATTATTGTTTTTGAACTGATTTATTCTCTTTTTTTCAGCTCTGTGTCTAATACTGACAGACAGAGGAAGAGAAAACTGTCAGACAGTTCCTCTCCTGACAGCAAGCTGAAGAAAGACAGCGTGAGTTTAATTGGATTTTAGATAAGTGTGTAAAAGACCCTGGTGTGCTAAGATATGGTTCAGAAAAACGTGATGTGTCCATCCACATATCTCACCACATATTTAATTGTTAATAATTACTGGAAGGTAAAAACTTCCCCGTGCAGTGCAGATGACTCAGGTTTCATAATTCTTAAAATTGCTGTCACGTTGTCATTAAGCCCAAGAGAAACAGCAGGTTTTACTTGTTTATTCATTTGTAAATAATTATTTTATATAAACATGTATATATATATATATATATTTTTTTTTTTTTTTTAATTTATTTTGTAATTAGGGCTGTGCAAAAAAATCGAATGCGATTCAATTTTGTATGCATCATTTGTCAGATGTGTTCTGGATCCATAATTTTCTTTAATGTCACCACACAGGACAGCACCATAGCACAGTGTGCCACGGGCCTCCGAAACCTGGGTAACACCTGCTTCATGAACGCCATTCTCCAGTCCCTGAGGTAAGAGCAGCCCTCACGACCCCGAGCCAAGGGCAGCCGGCGATGCATAGCCTGGCAGGGTGTGGGTGGCCCGGCTGGTGGAGCCTTAAAGCCTCCCTGCGCTCTGCTGGAGCCTCTAGTATGTACTGGCAGGTAACGGTGCCTGTGGCCTGTGAGCTGGCAGGAGGAGAGCTTGGTGGGGAGCCAGGGGACGGATTAGGCTGTCTGCCTGCTCACCGTAGCCAACCTTACGCAAGCGACTCGTGCCAAATATCACATAAACCGTTCAGCCTGCATTATCACGAACTACTGAGGCAAACATTCAGTTACACTACCGTTCAAACGTTTGTCGGCAATAGGATTAAACAAAATAATACATTTATTTAGCAAGGATGAATTAAATTGATTTTACATCTACAAAAAATCTATTTCAAACAAATGCTGTCATTCTGAACTTTTTTTTTTTATCAATGAACCTGAACAAAATGTTACAGTAGCACAACTGTAATAGCAAGTAAAAAGTAATAGTTAGAAATCTTTCTTGTGCTAAATCATGCTATTGCTAATTCATGTTAGAATATGCTAGCAATGCATTAAATCATGCTAGCACCATGTTAAAACATACTAGCAGTGTTGTAAATAATGCTAGAAACATGCTAGCAAAGAAAAATAATGATATCAACACGATAAACATGTTAGCAGTGTGCTAAATCATGTACATACATTCTAGCAGTGTATTAAGTCATTAACAATATTGCTTTTTAATTAGTTTTGTACACAATGATTTAACATGCTTGTAACATGTTAACAATGAGCTAAATCATGCTAGTAACATGTTAGCAAATCATGCTATCAACAACATTCTTAAACATGCTAGTAATGTGTTAATCTTATTAGCAACATGTTAAAACGTTAGCAATGTGCTAAATCATATTAGTATGTTAACAAAATGCTAAATCATGCTGGCAATGTGGGAAATCATGCTAGTAACATGTTAGCAATGTGCTAAATCATGCTATCAACATTCTTAAACATTCTAGTAATGTTAAATCACGTTAGCAACGTTAAAACATTAGCATATTAGTATGTTGTTTACAAAATGCTAAATCGTTCTAGCAACATGTTAAAAATGCTATAAACATGATAGCAACACGTTAATCAATCTAGAAATGTTACCAACATACTAAAACATGCTAGCAGTATGTAAAATCATGTTAGAAATACATTAGTGACATGGTAAATCATGCTAGCAAGATGCTAAAAAGTGTTTGCAACATTTTATTGACTTTCTCTGACTACTAAAATCCTTCAAACTTTAAGCTTTTCTACGTTATTTAAAAAGTTATTCAGACAATGCTTTGACAAGTCAACATCAAAGTTTGTCATCAAACTGCACTATAATTTTAATTACAATTTTAATTCTTTTTAATCTTTCATTTGTCTTTTGTTGCTGAGCCGTTATCGTTTTTTTAAGGCCTGGATAAAACACTAACCCTACCTGAAAAAAATATTTCCATTTGCGCACTTCTGCTGGCCATGATCCATGGAAAAGGAAGCCTTGGCAAGGTTACCATAGTATTCTGGCATACTGTCGATGTTTAATTTGCGTTTGGAAAGATATACCAAACGGTCGTAAGTCAGAAGGATCTTGAGTCATGTTTAAGACATCTCTGTTTGGTTAAACACTGGCTTTTGTTTCCTGTCTCCAGTAACATCCAGGTGTTCAGCTGTTATTTTAAGGAGCTGCCCTCGGTGGCCTTACGAAGTGGAAAAACTGCAGGAAGGAGAATGTACCACACCAGAAGTCAGGGGGACAGCAGTGTGTAAGGTCCTCTCCACTGAAATTCAAATGCTGTCCTTTATTTTAAAGAAATAGTCAAAACATACTTTTCATAATGTAAGCCCTTACAATATATCATATACAATACCATAATAGTCTACATGTTTATGGAATGGTTATATATTTTTTGTTACTTAAAGATTTATTATACCTTGACAAAAATCTACTGTTAAAATTTAGATTTTTAAAAAAAATTATAAATTAATAACATATATAAAATTATATACAATCTAAAAAAATATATAAAATGTGAAACTGTGATATTTTAGCAGAGCCACCCTGTTGTGTTTGTATTAATAGCTGCAGACAAGTGAGGAAGCCCTCGGCCAAGAGCTGCGAGGGTGACCTGAGTGGATTTGCCAGGGTTATTGAAAAGGAAGTGCAGTGTTGTGGCGTGCTCAGTGGATTGAGCTGAACAAAATGGCAGGTTAATCCTGCTGCGGATAGACAGACTAGATGTGCTTTCACAATGTCCCGATTCAGTCAAACGCTCTCGGGATGGGACTTGTGTGGGTTTATTTAATAATGTAGAGCGTTTTTTTGTTTTGTTTAGAAATGGGACCTCCACTATCGTTACATCCGTGTTTGGTGGCGTCCTGCAGAACGAGGTGTACTGCTTGATATGTGGCACCGAGTCTCGAAAATTTGATCCATTCCTAGGTGAGCCACCAATTCGGTCTATAAAAGCTTTGAAGGCCTCTGTCGCTATGGTTACGCTAAATCTCACTCTCCTCCAGATCTCTCATTGGACATTCCCAGACAGTTTCGAATCAAGACCACAAAAGACCAAGAGCCGAGGCCGACATGCACTTTAAATGGTAAGAGATGTTATTAGATTCTATTACATGGCTGCATTTTGGTTGATTTTGTTGACTTAATGTCATTGCACACTGAGTCCGAAATTTTCGTACGTTAAAAAATAAATATGACCTCACGTTGTGTCAATCAAGTTTACACGCTGCCTCCGAAACTTTAGTCCATCGTAAAAAAAAATTTGGATCAGGTAAGATTTTCTGCGTTTTTTGCATCCGTAACAAGCATTTTGATAGGAAAGGATGACGAATACGACAAAAAAAATGCATACTAAAATTTCAGACTCCGTGTGCTAGGACCTTAAGTCAGTATGTACTGTCTCTTAGATTGCCTTCGGAGTTTCACAGACCTCGAGGAACTGGATGAAACTGAGCTCTACATGTGTCACAAGTGCAAAAAGCGACAAAAGTCCACCAAGAAATTCTGGATCCAGAAACTGCCCAAGGTGACGGAAGTGTAGAAATATCAGATTTTTAAATAAATTGTGCTTTATGTCATTTGTAATGGTTATACAATGTCTAATCCGTGTGTAGGTGCTTTGTTTGCATCTGAAGAGGTTTCACTGGACAGCGTTTCTGAGGAATAAGATCGACACCTATGTAGAGTTTCCAAAGCGTGGCCTTGACATGAAAAGCTACTTGCTAGAGGTGAGTGAACCATTTGTTTTTTAATTGTAGTTTTGTAATAAGTTGTATGTTATTTAATTAGTTTTTAATACTTAAATAAATAACTATAATATTTAATTATTGTATATAAAAAGATTAAAAATAATATTAATATTACTGTTAATTAAATAACTATATACTAATTTAATATTTAATAATAATTTAATTTTTAAAAAATAATAGTAAGGTAATAATGTAATGTGTGTTTTATTTATATATAATTTTTAACTAATATTAAATTAAATATAATCATTTTATATAATATAAAATTTGTAAAAAAAAAAAAAAAATTTCAATAAATAGCTGTAAATTGATTATTTTATATAAAGTAGTGAAATATTACTATTAATTGAACAACTACATATTAATTTAATGTTTAATAATAGTTTTATTTTTAAAGATAATATTATGTAATAATACAGAAATAATGTAATGTGTTTGTCACTTAAATAATATTAAATAAAATATAATTACACATATATAAAATAAATTAATACATTGCAGAAACTCTTAAATATTAATGATAAATAGTTATATTTAAATAAATTACAAATATATGTACTATAATATAATAAAGTATAATATATAAATATAATTAAATACAATATATAATAATATAAGTTATTTTACTTTAATATAGTAATTATTTTAATAACTATCACAAAATTGTATTCATAATTGTATAATTTAATGTAAATATTAGTTCATTATTAGGGCTGTCAGTTGATTAAAATTTTTTATCTAATTAATTACATGTGTCTATTAATTAATCTAATTAATCGCAAAATAAATTTGACTTTGAAAATACCCACAAAAGATTATTTAAAGCTATTTTGTGTTAAATGAGAAAGTATCAAGTAGACATTACAAATTGTAGCTGTAAAAATAAAATTTTTATTTTGATTCAACAATTTATTACACACAAACATTTAAGCTACAACAGCCTAACATAAACTATGGAATATAAAAGATGATAATTTGAGAAACAACTCCGTATTTTTTGTTCATACAATGAAAGTCATTAACTAAAACAGCTTTGTTATCAGTCTTCAAAATACCTTCTTTTATGTTCCACAAAAGAAGTGTTTGAAACGACATGAGGGTGAGTAAATATGACAGAATTAAATTTTTTTTGGGTGAGCTAGGCCTATCCCTTTAATGTTATTGTTATTTTATGAAACTATACTCTAAATAAGAAACTAAATCTGCCAGCAGGTGGCGGTAAATGTCTTCATTCGATTTGTTCAAACGGCTGATTCATTCAGGAATGAAGTAAATGGCTCTCTATGAATGAGGCTTTGAATCATTGGTTCACACAATTCGTTCAAAACGCTGATTCATTCAGAAACTAAACCCCGCTGTGTTACTCGGAGATGCTCAACAATTCTGTAATGGCTTTAAGGTGTAATATGTTCTCTGCAAAATTGAGCAAAAACACATAATATTGTTGTGTTTAAAATATAACACTTTATCAACTTTTTATTTACTGTTGTATAAAATCACATTCAAACTCGTGATATTCGGGACAAAATCAGCACTCGTGGGATACTGCTCCTCGTGTGATATACAAGGGCATTTTTTTTGCACCAATATTTTGAATTTTAGGGCATAACTGCATTTATGGAGTTGTTGCCCTGCATCGTATTTGTCAACAGTCAACTGTATGTAATGTAAGATGATGTACAGGTCAGTGCGTTAACTGCGTTAAAATATTTTAATCGCGTTATTTTTTCACAACTCATTAAGTGCTTTAAACTGACAGCCCTAGTAATTATATACCTTTACATAAAGCATATGATTAAAACAAATATTACAATGTTATATAAATATAATTTTTAGTTATATTATATAATATCTTATTTTATGTAATATTGATTTCATAACAATTATGTAATTCTGCTCAGCCTGAAAACAGCTTGCCAGAGAGATGCCTGTATGATCTTTCTGCAGTAGTGGTGCATCATGGATCTGGGTAAGTAAACGCTGGCCTCGGTCTGTTAATAACAGTATAATACTGTTTCTCACTTCCCACAACTGTAATAGAGAAATGTTCCATTTGTAGCACACATCTCATTCACTGCAGCAGCCTGAAGTTGGGTTTCTTTGTCCTCCACTAGGGAGCGATGTTATATCAGTAGCTCTGCTGATCTTTTCATGTTTAACCAATTCACACTCTGTACTGATAATCAGATCACTGTCCTCTCCCACAGCATCGGCTCAGGACATTACACGGCATACGGGCTTCACGAGGGCCAATGGTACCACTTCAACGACAGCACAGTCACTCTGGTCAGTGAGGAGGCTGTGCTGAAAGCCAAGGCCTACATTCTGTTCTACACAGAGCACACGGATCAAGAGAGTCCAGCCAAGCTTTAAGACTTCCTCCAGATCAGTTATCGGACCTTCATACATGTGCCGTCATCTGTCTCTTGTCTCATGCTATCCAGTTATGATTTTTTTTTGCATCACAGAACCTCAATACAAACTGAATTGCTGCTTGCGTTTCGACTTGATGACTTTTCGTTTAATAGACTGTCCCAGTTTTTTGTCTTCATCCGCCACCAGTGTGAAATGAGATTCCAAAGGCAATTCTTCAGGGGGATTTTTGTCTGCCGAATGAACTCAAATTGACTGTAGAAACAAAATGCTTTACAATTGATTTTTTCCCTCTCCTCACTGAGTGTTTTTCCGTCGTCTGAAATGATGACAGCTGTCACGTTTCTGACGTCTCCTACTCACGCCAATGATCTGCTCGCTGCTCCAGGAAAAAACCTTTCTGTTCGGCTCGGAAATGCATTCTTGTCTCCTGAGCCTGCTGTTCATTGATCTAGGTTGATGTGGAGGTGTTTCCGAACTAAAACTTGAAATGTTTGATTTTACGTGACAAAACAAGATGTCGTCTGTATCTCAAAGCAGTAGTTGACTGCGATCACCTCACTAATGTGAAAATGACTTTTGAAGGGTCCAGTAGCTCACGTGTCTTGTTTCCTTTACGCTTGAAAGTGTTTGACCAGATGTACACTTTCTGTCCTTTTAGAATTAAAGGGATGCAGATTGTGCAAAAGTTGGTTTGCGTTTTTATTATATTATTCTCAAAATTAAAACGTATGCAATAAATTATTGTATTTACTGGTCCATTTTGCAGCTTATGCTGGCAAAGACCTCACTTCACAAGTTCTGACCAGTGTTATTTTAGTAAGTGTAGGTTTTATGAATATTTGTTGAATTATTTTTTGTAATTTTTTATTATTATTTTAGTTTTTAGTTATTTTAGTGCATTAAGTAAAATGAGAAATGTTGCCTCGGCAAATAGCTGAATTAAATATTAAAATAAGTTTTAAAGTTTCATGTCAGTTACATTTTATTTCAAGTAACAAAATGTTGTTTTTTTTTGATGGTTTTAGTTTTAGTTAATAGCTCTGGTTCTGGCTGACATATAAAAGGACCAACCATTGGTTATTTTATTTTTATGGAACAGTTAGCACCAGCGAACGCTGAAATCCAGTGATTCCTTCTTCCTCACAATTGTTAATCCTTGCAAACGTGTACCTTTTAAACTTGGTTTTGTATCCAAAAGTTGTGCAAAATGAGCCAATCAGATTATAGCTTGCCAAATAGAGAAAGTGCATGCCATTTGTGTGTGTGTGTGCGGAAATATGCATCAGATGGTCCATGGGTGTGCCGTCTGAGGCTAGCTGTGCCCCACTTCTGTATCACACAATGCAAATAGGGTAAAACATTTTTAGATTATCTCTGTTCAGCAAAAAAATAAATAAATAAAAGGTAGAGGAAGTAAAACAAAAAATGTGCCACATTTGATAATATTATGTGTCAGTTCGATGTCTTGCATTGCCAATGTCATGCCTTTTCGCTTGTCAATTCTACAACAAAAAAATCGAAGATAATTTGATTTATTAATTATATTACATTACATTAATATTTTATTTATATATATATGTGTGTGTATGTATGTATGTGTGTATATATATATATATATATATATATATATAAATCCAAGGTATTTAATAGAACACACCTCTAATAATAATATTATTGTTCATATATATATATATATATACAGTGGTGTGAAAAAGTGTTGGCCCCCTTCCTGATTTCTTATTTTTTTGCATGGTGTCACACTTTAATGTTTCAGATCATCAAACAAATTTAAATATTAGTCAAAGATAACACAAGTAAATACAACATGCAGTTTTTAAATGGTTTTTATTATTAAGGGAAAACAAAATCCAAAACTACATGGCCCTGTGTGAAGAAGTGTTTGCCTCCCTGTTAAAACTGTGGTTTATCACACCTGAGTTCAATTTCTCTAGCCACACCCAGGCCTGATTACTGCCACACCTGTTCGCAATCAAGAAATCTCTTAAATAGGACCTGCCTGACAAAGTGAAGTAGCCCAAAAGATCCTCAAAAGCTAGACATCATGCCGAGATCCAAAGAAATTCAGAAACAAATGAGAAAGAAAGTAATTGAGATCTATCAGTCTGGAAAAGGTTATAAAGCCATTTCTAAAGCTTTGGGACTCCAGCGAACCACAGTGAGAGCCATTATTCACAAATGGCAAAAACATGGAACAGTGGAGAACCTTCCCAGGAGTGGCCGGCCGACCAAAATTACCCCAAGCATTGGTTATTTTATTTTTATGGAACAGTTAGCACCAGCGAACGCTGAAATCCAGTGATTCCTTCTTCCTCACAATTGTTAATCCTTGCAAACGTGTACCTTTTAAACTTGGTTTTGTATCCAAAAGTTGTGCAAAATGAGCCAATCAGATTATAGCTTGCCAAATAGAGAAAGTGCATGCCATTTGTGTGTGTGTGTGCGGAAATATGCATCAGATGGTCCATGGGTGTGCCGTCTGAGGCTAGCTGTGCCCCACTTCTGTATCACACAATGCAAATAGGGTAAAACATTTTTAGATTATCTCTGTTCAGCAAAAAAATAAATAAATAAAAGGTAGAGGAAGTAAAACAAAAAATGTGCCACATTTGATAATATTATGTGTCAGTTCGATGTCTTGCATTGCCAATGTCATGCCTTTTCGCTTGTCAATTCTACAACAAAAAAATCGAAGATAATTTGATTTATTAATTATATTACATTACATTAATATTTTATTCACCAGCAAGTCCACCTCTGAATGGCTGAAGACAAACAAAATGAAGACTTATGCAAAAAATTAAGAAATCAGGAAGGGAAAAACACTTTTTCACACCACTGTATGTATATGTGTATATATATATATATATATGAACAATAATATTATTATTAGAGGTGTGTTCTATTAAATACCTTGGATTTTGCACAATGTACAGTGATCTCAATGCTAACTTGGGTGTATTTTGTATACAAAGGAACACGCTGTTGCTCAATTTGAAGTGCTGACACTGAATTGAAAGCTTCTGTACGAACTGTTCTCAAACACGGGTGTGGGTTCAATCAGTGTCACAGCGCACACAACCGCATGCACTTCCTCTGTTCTGCACATGTAATTGCTGCAGGTGGAGTAGCGTTCTCTTCCACCTCGCTTGAAACAGAGGCAAGTACGTTCGTTCTCTAATCTTTTTCAAAGGACTACTTCCAGTGTAACCCACTGTGAAATGTAAACGCTGAATGGTTTTTAATAACGTAAACCGATCCAAAACAAGAGTGTAAGAGGGTGTGCTCCGTTCCCATTGTGAGTTCTTCTTTTCCTTCCCCCTCGCTCTTTCTATCAATTGCTGCCACCCACACGGTCACTCTTGCATGAGCTCCCAGGGGCAAAACAAACACCGGGGCTCCCCACACGCCACGTGCCAGAGGTATCATCCCTGACAGGCAGGAAGAAGAGGAGAGGAAGAACAGTTGCTCGACTCGCTCAAAGGTGTCTGTCTGAAGCCGTCATACTTTAGAAAGGACAACAAAGTTCATTCTCTCTCTGTCCCGATAGGCCACAGCTGCCAGTAAGATCACGTTGCTTGTGTTATCGTTATCAAGTGCCACTGCGTCAATCGCGGCACGTTATGACTCAACTGAGAGTGACTCAAACAGTTCAAGCTGCAATCGCACTTCACCCAAGAAAGATTTGCCAGGTCTGCTGTGAGTCCTCAAGTGGTGTTGTCAGGTGCCATATCAAGAGTAGATATTGTGTAGAATAATTCCAGTATGGAGGCAGGAATGCTATGCTAGCCTAGCTTATTTTAAAAGTACACTTTGCTCGGTTAACACAAGTCGGGCAGAACTGCAGCTCACCCTGTTCCTTCACAATTTAACAGGCTGCCAGAAATCAGTGCCTGCCTTATTGCTAAAACATTGCTCTGTTTGTTTGAGGGTCCTGAATTGCTTGACACAGCAATGTTAGCTCAACCAATGGTGTGAGATTCGGCCGTGGCTATCTGTTTGACTGACCAATAGCAGATGAGGGAATGTGTCATCATTTTTGTAATTCTGGTTGGTGCTGCTAATGGCGCAAAATTACTTCACCTGTAACCGTTGTTGGGGAAAGTTACTTTTAAAAGTACTGCATTTGTGTTTCTGCATATAAAAGTAACTAATCGTGGTAGTTACTTTTTATGAAAATTAATGCATTACTTTTGCGCTACTTTTTGTCCCCTGGTTTGGGTTTGCTTATTGGTTTTAAATAACAAAAAAAAATAAGAATTTTTTTGGGCAGCTGTAAAGGCTATTTCACCAAAAGTGAAATTAATAAGCCTACGGCTGAAGCAAGTGCCTCTGCACTTACTCCCAGTTTCTCTCAACATGGGACAGGAGAGCTGTCAGTGAAACAAATTAACTAGCGTTACTTATTTGAAAAAGTCAGATATTTTGTTGTAAATTTAAAAATAATGCATTACTTTACTAGTTACTTGAAAAAAGTAATCTGATTATGCAACTCTCATAACTTGTAATGCGTTACCCCCAACACTGCCTGTAATACTGCAAGAAATGTATTCATTTAATCGGGTAAGTTCAAACTTTAAACTGGAAAAATTGTAAGCAAGGCAATTTAAAGCACACATTACTCCACTTTTAAAACCTGAACAGATTTAAAAACACAAGGCATCATACACTTGTCAACTTTGTAAATGGTTACAGAGAAAAAACACTGAATGACTGAGGATCAAGTCATTCCCAACATAAACTCATGCAGAAACGCTGTTTTAAAGTAAGTCTAAAATCTAAAACATGGTTGATATCCTCCGACTGGATTGAATCATAAGCTGCACCAGAGAAAAACAAGCTCGAAAACAGCTCGAAAACAGCTCAAAAGATTGCATTTGTCTGTTGCATACATAATCAAGGCTGTAATTATTTTTTTTTTTTTTTTAAAGCAACCATACTAAAAACTGACTCTTATTCCTTGTGAGGTTTAAATTAATGTAATTATTATGCATTTTCTGGAGGGCACAGTCTTCAAAATGAGACACGGTAATAGTCTATAGTATGAATAATAAAAAACTATAGTTAATAATAAAAATTGGAATCTGTGCCCATCATACGCTACGCTATTTTCCATGAAACTCCAACTCACCAAAATCTGCAGACTGACAATGGATTTGATTCTGGAAAGTTTCTGGCAAATTGGCAGAGAGCCATTTGTGTAATTGCAAGGTAGAAAAATAAGGCAGGAAAACTGTATCGCAGACAGAGACATAATCTTGTGGGCTGTGCTCTGACATTAGTTGCAAATTAAAGTCCCTATCAAACTCCTTTTCTGATCCCATTTTTTGCGGTTTGCATGGATGGCGAGTAGCTCCTCAGTCTTAATATCATTCCAATTAGAAGCCAGTATTATCATCTTTTTTTGCATTTTTATCTGTATACAAATGTTCTTCTTTGCTAGCTATGTTGACCTGTAAATTTCCATCAAATGTGGAGTATCCATGAATTCAGGAAAGCTCTGGCACTCCAAACAAGCAAAATCCAACTATTTTGAGTCTTAATTGCCAGAAAATCTCTGGAATCTCTGGCCCATTTATACCTGGTGTTAAGATACATTTTGGTTGATCCAATCACAAGTTAGCAACAGGCTAAATACAGGGGTAAACCAAGTCCAAACTGATTTGCGCTTGTCCACTTTCAAGTGCATTCGAAGGCGGTTGAAAATTCAAGTGTCCACATTGCAATTGTTGTGCCAATTTTGAACTGAGAACAACCACTAAAACAAGGGTTTAAACTT